TTAAGCACAAAATAGGAAGAGGACTACATTCTTGTAATTCTAGAACAGGAAGTCGATTATCGGTGTGCTAGCAAGCAGAAAGTTAAAAGACACTTGTTTTAGTTTGAAAATTCAAATTTTGTAGAGTTTCCCTTAAATTTCGGATTACTATCACGCTTAACATTGTAAGACAACAGCTTTTTAGCATCCTCTATCAAGAATTCGATATCGAAAATCTCTCAGAGTGAGATAACGAGTACATAGAATCTTTTCAATTTAACGATCCTAACGATCCGCAGATCATCAACATTACTCAGCACGGCATATTGTATTTGTGATCATGGCGTATTTTAATGCTTTCACTACTTTGGCATATCAAAGTGAGATATACGGCCGTGGTTGAGGCCTTCGAATGCTTAGAGCAAGAATCAAAAGAAACTAAAACAATCAATCTACTCAATTAGTAGAAAGTATGCACATTATCAAATGATAACGGCACTAGCCAATTGCTCTAATTCAGAATTTTTGGTGTATGCGATCGTTTCTTTAAGTCTTTGATATTTTAAATTCTGACGAATCTCCAATAACAGCAGCAAAAATTAAAATTAAGATTGTAAAGATTACGCGGTGATTGCAATTAGACTCATCCAGGCATCAAGAAAGCGTAAATAACGTTGTTACCAGACGGATATCAAAACCACACGTTCTGCTTCATATTTTACCCATGTTTTCTCAAATCATGTAATTATTTAATCATCGATTAAGCATCGGCCAATAATCGTTTAAAAGTCATTTTTATTCACTATATTATCAGACTTTTTATTCATGTGATAAAGGTGGTAAACTTCTCTTAGTAATACGAATTCTAATACATGCAGTAATGTTAAAAGCAACTAAAATAAGTCGGACTTTAGAAAACGACACACAGTATATGTAGAACCGAATTAGATCATTCCAACGGATGATGAAGAGAAATATAATAAAACTTATGAAAATTTGATTGTTTGGATTTAAAAGCATCGCTAGTTGAAAGCCTTTTATAACTTGTCGTTCATACTTTCAAACTGACTAAAGATAAAGTCAAATGATACGTTAAGTGATTAATTTACTTCCAATTACCAATTAAAACCGAGTAATTTATCGAAGTATAGGTAAATTATCCAGCTAGAGTAAATGTTAGGAAAGATCTAGTGGTTTATTACGACCGTAACCAAGAATCCTTACATTATTATATAAAGTGATCCAATTTTCCTAAACTTATGATAATACGAAATTTTACAATCACCTTTTTATGTATAACTTCTAAACATAATTCTTGAATTAGTTTATTCAAGACGGACAAATTTGAGCAAATTTAATTTCAGCTAACATCAGTCATGATATTAACGGAAATCACTACCTAAACTGGTAAAGTAAAAGCATTGAGGAAGCCTCAATTATTTGCAAACAAAAAAGGCTTTTAGTTGTAGCCCCGCTATTTCCTAGCTGGTATAGTCTAGTAAAGAAGCAATAACAACTTAATTTCAACAAAATTTGCTTGATAATATATAATTAAATAGCATCCAGAGAAGGAAATGATGTCTTTCAGGGGAATAAAGGCCTATTTGTAATCTTGAAATCTATTAATAATGCTGCCTATGTCTTTGCCTATTTTTTAGGATATTATTTAACTTAGACTATAACCATGATCGTTATCCCAACCGTATAATGATTGCGACAAAATTATATCCATTTATTACCAATTTAACACTCAAATTAAGCTCACCTTTTTCCCAAGATGGAGTTTTGTTGTAATTCTTTGAATTTAATTTTTGTCTCTAATAGACATTAACCTTGGTAGGCTTGCTGATAACTGACTAATGTAATGACTACGTTGAAGTAATGGTTCTTTTAAGCTCAATAGATAAATGGTTTGATTTCTCTAAAATTGAACAATAAGGCTAGATTATTGTTTTGTTTTAATAAGGTACAACTAATAAACTCATCAAGCGTATTTATTATTAAGAAATTTGTCATAACCTTCAAAAATAGGCCTCACAATAAGAATAATTGATTATCTTGGAATGAATTGATCATATTAGCGTAACTAGAATACGATACATAAGAGAATGGCTAGACCGTGAATAGTTTAGGATCAATGCATATTTTACAGACCTATTCACTCTGCTGGAGCGTATTTAACTTCTGCTTTATACCTAATTGCCCATTCAATTCTCTATTCAGTGATTACGGAAAATAAATTGAAATAGAATTAGGCTAAATATAACAACCAATGGTCATCAGTAGTTTTTTAAAGGGTACACTGGATCGAGAGTTCTTCATGTTATAGTTTATTAAGATTACAGTTACGATTGATTTTATTGTAATAAATCTTACTTCCGGTTTCAAATCCAATTAATCTGATTTACTCTAGGTCCTTAAGAATTATCTTTACTACAAGTTGCTTTAGATTTTTACGATCAACGTGAAATTGTTCAATCCATCAATAGAAACAACGTCATGACGATAAAATGGAAATTCCCAAGACTATTTCATTTTTTCGATTCCGTTGGATTTAGATTACATCAGAAAGATTAAAACTATCCACTTTGCAAGAGCAAATCAAACTTAGCTATAAGTTCTGTTCTTTTTATGACTGTCCCCTAAGAAGATATTTCACTTTCAAGAGTAAAATGATGTAAGAAACATTCTTGTCATGGACGAGTTTTTGATGTCTAAGGTTTGCAACCTATTGACCTCAAATTTAGTCTATTCAGCTATCATCTATCGTTACCTTAATAAGCATTAAAACTATTCTCCCTCGCACTATTTTTTACTTATGTTAAGTAGAGTTAAGAACAGTACGGGAAAGGTTAAGTAGGATTTTACTTAAATTGATGGAAACGGGGATTTGATAACATGTTAGTCAATAATCCTTTTTAGGAATGTATAAAAGACCAACTCCTTTGGATGGGAGGTAGGTCGATAGCCTTGAGCTGCCAATGTGCGTAGTTGCCTTATCTTAAATTCTACTATTTCAATATGCAGCTAGAGGATTTTAATTAATAAACATTTTTAAACGCTACGTTAAGGGCTTACTGAGTTATGTAACTGGATACTGTAGGGTTGAAATTAGTACTTATTACAACACTATTTCTGTAATTGTTTTAAATCAATGTAGTCCTGTAATTTTACCAAGTTTTTTTTTTCAATCTTTCTATTGACTTCCATTTACCTTATTATCGTGGATTACTCATTAGCTCGAGGTCTTTGGAAAGAATTTTTTAAAGTCAAATTGAGTTGAAATATAATCGTAGCAGGTCTTTGCTTTATCACGCCAAAGTTTATAAACGTTTAATTTCTAGCTGTTTAAACCAATAAATAGAATCATTCTTGGCAGGAATAATTATCAAACCTTATTCCATACCTGCTGTAAGGGTGTTCATAAATCCAAATAATATAAATTAAAAAATTGATATACATTTGAAAGGGTATTGACCTTAGAATTATTGTACAAGTTAGTTAGCAATGGCTCTGCAACATGCTTTTTTGTAAATAATTGATAAACACAAACACTTCGAAGTACAATACCTCGTATTTATTCAAACGTAGATTTGGTTCAAGTAATTATAGCGAATTAATAACAATCGATAATTTAAATTGGTGAGATATACGCAATTAAAATTTTATCTTTCATAACATAATTGAATGATTAAAATAATTCGAATCATAACGAATCATACGTACGTATAACTTAAACCGGAAATGTAAATTTAACTATTTTATTGTACGGGATAAATATTTCAAGCAAGATCTTCAGCTTGTACCAATGAATCAAATATTAATGTTAGTGAATTACTCGGACATCAAATATATTTATGTCAGATTATATACCGGTATCCCTATTATAAATCATCACGATAGTCCGTAATTATTGAAAACTCTGCTAATTTTACATTTAATGTAGATTTAAATCAAACCCAGTTAAGCATTAAATTAATAACCACATATCATTTAAATGAAAACACAATTTAGGATATTTGCCACTGTCATAAACCAGCTTCGTGACAAAGATAACGTAAAACAAATCTCTAAATTACTATAGTCTTTGGGATTCAGTATCCCTTAACTATCTCACAAGAATTTAGACGCCTTTGATTCTACGTTAAACTTAACTAGACAATTGAGAACTAATTTATTCAACTATCTGATGGGCTTATATACCCTTCTACAGCAGCTAACAATCGTGAGTCATCTTATACAAATACTTAGGTGAGAACATCTACTAACTAATTTTCCACAGTCGGAGTACAATATGGACGTCCATTCACAGAATTACTTCAGTGCACATTACAGCACAGTATTTAATTAACTCTAACACATTTATAATTAGAGTAATTCCTATTGTAAGTAACTAGTTGTAATATATTATCACTATATTATATTGACCAAATTTAGATAGCTACTTCTTCACGGTAGTTCGTACCGTGACAACCACATGGTCAAATACAAAATTGCCCTTACTGTTAAAGCGACAAATCAATACACGTGTTCCAGCTGTGAATAGAGTAAGTTCTTATTTCAATTCAAAGTAGAATAGCGATAGCTCCAGTCAAGCGACATATATTTTTAGAATATTTTAAAAGTTTTGAAAGAGAAATTAAAACTGTCTTTTAGGTAAATGCTTAGATGAAATATTTGAACTATACTGTTGACCAAAATTCAAATCCGTCAATTCGTAATCTTTAGTATACGCTATGTCAATTTGCGCTATAGATAAATTGATCAGCCAAGTTCTCTAGATTTGGTATAATGAAATTCCTGAAACTAAATACACCAAACCAAAGGAAATTCTAAATCATATGAAAGCATTTATACAGTATTAGCTCAACTGAATTATAAAGGTGCGCGCCAAAAATAAAGACTTTAAGGAGAACCCAAAAGTGTCAAGGAAGCCGAATATGCACAACCTAAATTTATCCAGCTATTTAAATTTCTTCCAAATGCTTTAACGAGACTTACAGTAGAAATAATTGACAAGATTATAATTCGGTCTGTGACCGACGTGATCCAAGATGACTTCGTACAGAGCTCAATAAACTGATTTTGGTGGAAGATTGCGAATTTTCTAATGTCATTTTCTTGCATAAAGACATTAGAGCAAGTCGAAAGCTACGGTTACAAAAAGAATAGCATATAGGATTAAGCAAAGGTGGTAAAACGAAAAACATATGAGCAGCCTCGATGCCAATCCATAGATTTGATTTCATGACATTCAATACGTGCAATATTTCATCGCCATTGCAATGACTAATGGAGATAAATAGCAAATAAGCAATAAATGGAGTCATGGTTAATAAAAATAAGAATGCGACAATGATGGATAAGAATGCAGCCTGTTTTTCACGCAATTTTTGAGCAGCAGGCGAATTTGGAGCAGAACGCTTAATTATTGCAGAGTCCTGATGAGAAAATGATGCCCGACGTTCTTTCCCATACTTAAGCAGAAACCTAGCGAGGTGAATATAACAGTAGAGCATGATAACAGCTGGTATTAAGCCAAATATACAGGTGGTTAGTATAGTTACAATTAAATTGTAATGGCAATATCCACAGGGATGATGATGTGCAAAGAAACATCGATTATACACTCTAGGTGTAACCTCGACCATCCAAGCAAAAGGAATGGAACCGACGGTGGATACTATCCAAATAGAAGCTAGCAGACCACGGATCTTCCAAGTTTCTGATCTTTCATCACTAACTTTACACATTTGATTAACAATTAATGCACGATAACGCTCAATTCCCATGCAGGTCAGTGTTAATGTCGATACAAAATTTGTTATGAAGAAAAAGATATAACTGACTTGACAAACAGCATTAGTGCCCTTCGATAATTCCAAAGAATAATTGAACAAGGCGCTAAGGTATGGTACATTGATTAAGTTAATGTTTTTGGTACTCAATATTATGGCAATTGTTTTAATTCCAAGCAGAGAAACTGCAGCCGCAGAAAATAAATCAGCAATTGCTAGATTCATCATTAAAGAACGGAAAATCTTCGATTTAGATACCTGCTTCTTTTTCAAAGTCACAAGAACTAAAGCATTGAAAATAATTCCGATTATCCCAATGCCAATATAAATACCAGAAACTAAATCTTGTCCTTCGACGGTTTTATTTAAACTGATAATAGGGTTTTTCTCTATGATGTCAAAATAGATGCACTCATTAGGGCAATTTCTATCGCTACATTTTAGATTACCACCATTTCGCTGAGACGCCATATTTGAATCTAAACAGTGAAGAAAAAATATATGAATACTTATGAACATAAAAACAGAATAGCCTAGCATTATTGATATTAAATAATGCAGTCAGTTGAAAAGATTTTTTAAGTTAAAATCGAACTAGCTTTTGTAATAAATAACCAAATTTACATTATACAAAATTAGCTTTGTAAAAATCAAATGATATTAGAGTGATTTAAGAGTTATTTAAATGAGCTACATCTACATCAAATTCTTGCTCACAAAACCATGACAGGAAATTGCAAAATTGGCCTTAGTAATTACGATTTTACATCTTACAGTATCAACTACCGATAAAAAGTAATAAATACTATAGCATTTAATGTAACCAGCGAGTAAGAATTTAAAGGTTATATCTCCAGCTAAGAGGAAAGTATCGATTAAGAAGGCCCTATAACCCTACAGTTTTTGACTCACTTTATTATTTAATTAATGCGTATTAAGGATTGCTAAGAAGCAGACTCAGAAAATCGTTGATAGAGAAATTAAGAATAAGATTAAAACTAAATAGTTACTTCAAATCTCGACGAATATTAATGTATCATCATATTGATTGTAACTATTAGAATTATACAACTTTGCATACTAATGAATCGTATGGCCCTTGATTGATCTTTCAGCAGAACACCTTTCTTCGGATCGAGTCAAGTAAGTGTGAGTGCTTTCCGTAATAAATTTAAAAATATTGACTGCAATAAGATGACAAATCGATTGTTTGTGAATATACCATAAAATTGTGTGACAGATTAAGCCGTAGTTACAGTTTTACCCTAAATCTGTAAAGGAGATTTTCCCTCCAGTAGACCTACAAAATAGCTGCCTGTTTCATCTCAATATAAAGTCAATAATGCGGTATTTAAGCGTCTTAGCTAATTTCATCTTCCCATGAAAGAGGTGTAGACCTCTTCTGTAATTGATGTGCTGTGATATAAGACTATCTCGCATTATAATTATCAAAGTCTAAATTTAATGCATAATATTTAGTGGCATGAAATTGATGCTGTTGCAACTTTATGGAAACCATGTCCATAGAAGACAATCATGTCCCATCTCTATTCTGAAATTCAGATAATTATCTATATACTTATTGCTTTTTGTGACTTAATTAAGTGATCTTTTATCCATAAATTATAAGTATTCGAAATTCTAATAAAAGGAGGTGAACTTGATTTTAATACTTTATATTTATGTTAAAGTAAAAGACTCAGCAGGTGAATTGGATAACACCAATTTAAAAATGAAATCTAATCTAAAACAATACATACTGATTGATACGATCGTAAGCTGATATTTCAGTAGGACCGTCATGCCTTCTTCTTTACTTAATTAATATTAATAGATTCAATACTTGCATAAATTTAATAGAATTTCTAACGTAAAACAGAATTTTATATCCCGGCAACAAAATAGAAAGCAATGAGCTGATTTAGCAAGCAAACATGAAGTATCCTAAGGCTTATCTATGTTAGAGTTTAAATTGGAGGTAGTTTAAGTTGGATATCATTTTAACATAAATTGCTTTCATAATTACTAGCCATGATAACAATTCCGTTCTAATTCAGTTATAACTAATAGTTTGATATTTTTCACGAAAAAGGTCTAATTCAAACAATTACTGGTCGATGTCTTACCTCGAATAGTCGATAATCAGTTTTACTATAGTTGCGATAATAATCGTCGCATACGCGTTTATAAATCAATTAATTTATCAATTGTAATCTAAATTTATGACAATTTTGCGGCCTTACTAGCACCTATAAAACAGAACGCCAATTGTTCTCTATTACTATAAGCCTTAGGGCTTAAAAGCACTTAGTAAAAATATTACGTTATAAGTAAAGAGAATAAAATCATTCTGTTTCGATCCATAAATAATAAAGACGAATGCTGGGATGCATTACACCACTCATTCCAATCTCTTTCCATACTTTAATGATAAAAATGAAACTATGAGACTTTTATTGCAGACTAGATTATCAATTGAATTTAAATATACATTTCAATACGGTAAAGCCTTAAATCAGTAATTAAATAATTAATTCCTTTGACGTCTAGACGAAATCCACATAAAATTTAATGTAGATGAGTAATGCGGAAGTGCTCAATAAGAAGATAAGAAGATAAAGTCGTAGTCAATAATGCCAAGAGAATAAAATCAAAACTAGATGTCGCCACTATCTACGGGAAGAAACAATTGCGGTGATAAAATTTTATTTGCCATATACTACTTTAGAAGCATTACATTCTCTACTGGTAATCGTCATCAAAATAACCTAATAGATACGTCAATGTTACAAAATCAGAAAAATTTTTTGGCGTAGTTTTAGTCTTTATTACTTTGTATGTCAATCTCTAGTTATTACAATATAGTAGAACGATTCTTAAAGATGCTTTACCTCAAACTGGGAAGTTTTAATTAAACTCAAGTCTAATGTCTTCTCTTTAAGCCGCAAAGTTTGTCAAAGTAATTCAGTGCACAGGATCTAATCTCGATGGCTACCATGAAAGTAATCCGTAACGATAATAAATGGCCAATGCATCTAACTTACCTATATGAACTAGAGCTCTATTCTACGTAATAAATAATTGGTAAAGATTGGACAATAACTGTAACAATTTACTTGTCATATTCAAAGAATGACAATCGATCAATCTGTTATGAAATCAATGTGACCATTGTCTATCAGCAACAACGAATTGTCTTCAAGAAGAAATTGATAGACTACAGGTTACGACACTGTTGACTACACAAATAAGAACAGCGACATCGTAACTTAAACAATACTATCGCACGGTTCTTAATCTTTTACTCTGAAACTTTGAACAAGAATCTAGCAAATAAATCCTAGGTTGTCTATCAGGACTATGGAAAGTAATATGCTATAAAGTCACAACAATTATCTTGTAAACATCGGCTAGTGACAACACAATCTATAGATGATGTAGACATCGGTAAGCTATTGATCGCCAGGCCTACTTTTCACGCTTCTATTGATCTCAGATTGGATCTTAGCAGGTGTTGAAAGCTAATACGGAAGGTCTTTCAAGCATGACAGGTTGAATTATTCGTGTTCAGTTTTATTTTCTGTACATCAAATTTTAGTCGTCATGCTTTCATTCAAATCAGTGTGGGGCTATATACATTAGTCAGGTATATAATTACGTTAGAATAGTTGCTAATGTAGCAATTTTAGCTAAAAATTATTAATTTTGCATTAAGTTCAGTGTTTAAGTTGCGATAATTTGTTATGAAATCCTTGCAATATAGGTCAGTATATGTATCTTGAATCAGTAGCTTTCCATAGAATTAAAACGAAATGTCTTTTATGACGACGTTCAACTGGTATGATTTACTTGAATCGAATAACATTATTATTCTAATCTATTATGCAACGTACCAAATGTAGAATTATGCAAGACGATAATCGTATTTAATGGATTAAAGTTCGAATATATAAAAAAAAGTAAAAGTATCATTGGCAATCCAGCTACCAGCACCAATTTAAGGTTTAAAATTTAAAATTGATACTATCCTCAGTATTCTGTATAGCGCCGTGTTAATATAAGTAATAGCAAATGACACCAAAAGGAAAAATCGACGATAGAGTGAATTTAATTCCTTTTAGGATACTCATGAAAAAGGCTAGTAATCAAAGACAACTGTCAGATGAACTCCAATCATTTTCTTAAATAAATAGAATAGAATGGTTGCTATCCTGCTTGTTAAGATACTAAACGGATAAGTAAATAAAGACTGAGATTGGAGGATAATTTAAAATAGGGCACTATCGTTATCAATGAAGCATTAAACTTTCACATGTATATGTATAATTTATATACCATCTGTTTAAAATTATAGATTATATTCCTGGATTAAACTAGATTATTGCAATACAAATAATAACACCATCTCAACGTCTTAATTTCGTACAATTACGGTAGTTAATCCAACCTAATTAAGGCTAACATAATTATATCCTCTATATTAATCCGCTTCTTTGATGGGCAAAGGCATGATCTCAGACTAAATGATAGCCAGATCATTACAGTCATCCCGAACCTAGCTAGTAATCATATTAGCTTACCGAGGCTATAATAGTTTTCAGACTTTTAGAACCAGGAAGTAATTTCCATAATCTAAAGAAACGTAAGAATGAGAGCAAAGTATAAAAGGAAACAAAAGTTACGGAGAATAAAGAAAACTATTTTACTCCTGCTGGATAGTAAAAATTTAAACAAGAGTCTAAATCTTTTTTTTTGAAGCGTTTCTTTGTTTAATGCTGCCTTGATAAATTTCGACCTTCAAATTAATCCGTACAGATGTTAATCCTAACAGCTAATGCTGGGCTTCGCATTGGTTGAAATGAACATGACGGCACCCTACAACGATATAAATAAATAAGTTTTAAATTGATCAACCTCTAAGTCTTATTTGAAATGCCGGGGTCCATCCTTTCAGCATTTAAGGGCGACAGTTCTTATTATTGCCATAGAAACTGGGTTACGCCTTGAACATAGAGCTATTGTATTTATATTTTAATTTAGTTAGTAATGACGATAAAATTGAAATTAAAGAGTATAACTCACTCATTTAAAACTGTAAGTGCCGCTATATAATTGCATTCCATTTACATCTTTAACAGTGGTTCATGGTTTTAGGATCTTCTTAGTATTTTGTAAGGAACAAAATCCATGATATTCATTTGCGTTGTAATAGATCTTCAAGTTATATAGCAACTATGGTGTTTCCGGACAAGATATATATTAAATCTATAAACATAAACAAATGATTTTAGTCACAAATTAAATCTATACCTCTTCTTCAGACAGAAAATTTGAATAAATTAAAGCAATAAAATGAATAGCATTCTGCGTAGAGTTATCACGCTCCCTCTTCTTAATTAAGGTATCCAGGATATAATTCTGTTCATTCAACCGGAGAAAGAATCTTTAAGTATTATCATATCATTACTAGATACACTTAGAGTAAATATGTACACTTGAAGCAAATGTGTACATACTATATTAGACATTTAATATTTGCTATACTATTAATACAGCTCACTGCCTAATATAACTCAACCCGTAGAATAATATAAATAAGACTTGCCTCTGATTTTATTAAAATCCTCTCAAATGTAATGCGCATCATTTTAATTCATAGCTTGAACTTAATATAACTAACACGAAATGACTGAGAGATCTTACGGTGAAGTGGTGTTTATTACGTGAATTAAACTTGAAATTTATTTATTGAAGGGAAATTCCGATTAATAGCAAATGTTATAATGTTATACCATACTTGAATAGGTCGGTAATATTAATTAAAAATGCTAAAAAGAAGACTACATGAAAATGCACGATAAAATACTAGGTTATAGCATCTGCCAAGAAAGCTATAAAATTTTATCCATCTCACTGACAAACAAATATTTATAGTAATCCGCCTCTACGAATAATTAAGGTACTCGGGGAATTCGACATAAACAAGATGGCAGAAAATTATTTATGGACATAAAATTGACAGCAAATTAGAATAGCCAATATCCATCATACAACTATTAAAATAATATTTTTCAACAGTTTGTTTATTTTATTTAGACGAGCATTTTGCATTCATCTTTTACCAATACATAATTGTTACATGTCATAAAAATGTATTTCCATCACGTGTAAATTCGATGAATGTATATTCGTGAGCTAATAAATTCAAATTGTACTTTTATTTACATTTAATTTATTACTAAACCTTTACTTAGATTTTTCGTACAAGTTAGCAACATTAATACAGGATAACACTATTGCTGGGGAAAAAATCAAAACATGCTTTCGATATAAGCGAATAAGATTTTCAGATTCAATTTTCTAAGCAAAACAAAGCCATTTGTAATGACAGTATCATTAGGCCAGTACTTTTCAAGAGACGAAAGGCTGCCTTAGGCAAGACTGAAAAATTAAACCAATTTCAAATAAGTAATTGTTCCAGAAAGGCAAATTTACATGTTATATAAGTTAATTATACTTCCTAAGAAACACCACTAAACTTTCTACATAAACTTATTACTGATACAATCTAGTACTGTACGGATAAAGATCCCTATAATTAAGATATTAATAGTAGACAAATACAGATGTCAAAACGAACACCTGAAGTCATTAAAGCAAGCCCTATTCAATAAGCTCTATTTTCGAAATTATTGGTTCAGTAATTATAATCTCTCAAGAGTGGAGTTCATCAAATACAAAGAAGAATTTCAATAACTCACGAATGCATGTCAACTTACCGTCTATAGCAGAAATAGTTTGTTATAGGTGTTCTATAACAGACAAAAATATTTTTTAAAGAATTAAATGTGCAGTAGCGTTCCGTCATAATGAATAAATTGTTGTAATGGCCCGAAACTAAATTCTACGTGCTACAATCGCAAAAACGTTAACTGTAACCTATCGATATAAAAGACAAAGTAAGCATTGGAATCAATGTCTAAACTTTAATAAGAGACGATTGCTATAATGTTCTTTCTCTTAACAAGATATCTACCGATCTTTCTTAAATCTTTTTATATGCAATAGTAGCCTGAATTAACAACATTTTACCACCCAGGGCTCTAATTTCGAAATTTTAGTAAAGTAAGCACGGTTAAAAGCGGCCCTACGTTAACTATAATGGAAAATATTAAAGTATGCATTGCTTGTATATTATAATTGTGACAAAATAGTAATAGTACCTCTCAATCGTTCTATGGCCACATCAATCTCTAGATACTTATTCACGTAGGACTTCCTAACTGCAGTATACAGCATGGATCAAAACCACAATACTGGCAAATAAAAATTTCCTAATATTAAAACTATCATATTGCGACTGCCACTTTACTCTAAAAGCCTGGAAATCATCAAAAAAATCATTTTTCATACTTTATTTTGAAATAACTGAACTTACAGAATTTTTCAATTTAAGATCTTGAAATACGCAAGCTAATCAGCCGAAATGGCTATAACTTAAGGCAGTTCTTGTAACACCTAATAGCAACGTTTGTATTTATATGTAATCGATTTTGGGTAAAATATCTTTTTACTTAACCAAAGAAGAGCGATTCGATTATATTCAAATCCATCTTTATACTTGCAGTTCGACATTGGTGCCAGAAAAAATTAAGGAAATACCTACATTATAACGCGATCTGAACGATTTTACTAAGCAACTAATTTAAAAGAAAATAAACACCAACTCTGAATCTCGCAGATATTTCACTCACTTTCACATAGAACTAATAGTAAAATTTTGCAATCCTGTAACTAAAATAAATAATTGAACTCATTTTATTATTTAATAAGAGATAGATACACAGCAACTTCTTTTCGCGTAAGTCGTAGCTCGTCTAGAACTTTAATGTTAGAAACAATTAAGAGAGATTGCGATAGTAAATCCATACTTAGAAGTTATTTATTAATTATTTAAAAATTACTGTAAAATTGTACAATTTTGCCGTTAAATAAAATAATAATTACTACTATTTCATTATTTAATGAGAAAATTATAAACTGCAACTTAATCATTAATACATACGTTGGTAGGTTGTAGTTTGTTACGAACTTTTTATGCTAGCTATAATAACGAAAAACTAAGAATGCACGCTATATTGAGAAGTTATTGATCCCTTTTGTTCAGAAAGATATTTAATCGGATGAGCGGTAATACCGCTATCGATACTGAATTTAATGACCAGAAGAGGAAAATTTATAACTTAACTTTTATTAACTAACGTTAGCGTACATTTATCAATTTAATAAAGGAAATAGTATAATAATAAAATATTAAATCGGTTACTACAGTGTTATAGCCGGTGTATGCTATCATTTTCGCCCAATTTACGACATTGATTGAGGTATAAATTTTGCACGTACAATAGAACTAATCAATAAAAATAAGGTCATCTCAATTCTACAATACTATCGTTATACTCTACGAAATTGACCTCTATAAATCGTTACCAATACGAAAATGCAAGACATTGATCTTAATTTTACTAACATACTTAAAATTACTCTATCATCTAAGCAAAGTCAAAAATTTTGGTTTATAACATAAACATTTCAGTGAGCTCGAAATTCAGCTATAATAATTTAATCTACATTAATATTAGTAGCTAAAAAAATCTATGTCAAATCTATCATTTCAGAAGGAAAATAAAGTTGTATAACTACAGAAGTGTTCGGTATAAAGCCAAGCAATCTTTACGTAGCAAATATCATTTAGTCAAGCATAAACTTTTTAAAATTTTATAGTAAAAGGCAGTACGTAAGAACACCATATAAGCTTCCAAAAGTTAAATTATTCCTGGGTTCAATTTACATCAGCTTCATTTCTGTGCACCTTATAAAGGCACATACATTGCTCGGCTGTTTCGCGTCGTAAACTTTTGCGAAATCTAAGGTGTAATAACGATATAACCACACATCGACTCTTGTAAATAATTATGCATATTTCAACGATAAATCGCCGACTTAGGCTAATTTTAGGTAAAGGATCTAGTAGATAATGACTACTATAAGCTGAATTCATTAAAATGGCAACAAACGGCGTACTTAGTAACAAGAATGCTGCAGTTATCATGAGAGAAAACCAGATAACAGATTTTCCCCTCTCATAATTGCGCCAATTTCTCTTCATATTGGTTTCTTGCCACTTTCGCAATTGATTGTACATGGATATACATATCAGTAAATAGCATCCAACAATAATAACGGATGGAAGGAGATAGAAGATACAAAATAAAACTGTAAAGAAGATTCTGTTAAAATGTGCCATCATGATATCCTGAGTTACGGTGCAGCTGTATATAGATGGGCCATGAACTTCAATAAAATAAATTACTGGATAAGCTACACAAGCAGAAGTGATCCACATAGCGGTAATGCCTATAGCAACCTTTGAAGAACGAACAGGCCGATCACGACGACGATTTCGAATATGACTGAGATAGCGATCAACAGCAATTGCTGTAAATATGATAACCGAAGCTGCAAATGTAGTAACCATAATAAAATAAGCAATTGTACAAACGGGTTGTTTATGCATTTCAGTCATTGATGATGAATGCAGAATTAGAGAATAAACAGATGAAGTAAAAATTACAGCCGAGCATGCTAAATCGGATAATCCCTGATTCGCTAAGAGAATGTCATAAGCTTTATTAAATGATCTACTTTTAAATATTAGAAATATTAGGATTAAATTTAGGCAGAACCCTAAGTAGCCAACGCTTAAATCCCAAATTACCACAAAATAGAAATCTTCAATATACAACGCTTGGCTAAAATTACTGAGATTATCCATGGCTGCGTCGGAGCTGAAGTTTCAAACTCGAAACTACCGAGACGAAAAGGAAAAAAACATATTTAATAGCAAGTTCAAGATTATAACGTAAATCCAAGTCAATAGTTTTGATTAGTATTATTAAAGAAATTGCATTTTTCTCAGGAAAGTAAAATTACTACAGCCACAAAAATTTTAAAATCAAGATACAATACTACATGTTATGGCATCGACAAAACGTATTGCAAAATTACAATGACATTATTATAGAAATAGCTTTCTATCTGGATCACAAAGCTACTAAAGCTACTAAAATTGCTCGTATCAAGATACGGTACTGTATTCTACTGCATCAATATCATTGCGATATTATATTTTACATTTATATTTCATATTTTACATTTTAAATTTCTTTGAATTAAATTTTTACACGAGCGTTGCTTAAGAACTATGTGCTGCATCTAAGTTTGTTGACATAACATACTGCGAGATTACAATTAGTATTACTATATAAATTACTTTCGGTCAGGATCGAAAAATTGTTACGGCCATTAAATTGCTAGCAGCAAGATACAGTGATGCTGTTAATTAAGTGGCATCATAATGTTTAGAGATATTATATTTTACATTTATATGCCACTTTTTAAAAATAATGTAGTTTATTTTATGTATTTATGAAAGCTTTGTCAATAACTGCATAATGTATCTTGCTGTATCGATATAATTCGGTGCAGGATTATAATTTACACTAGCATTGCTTAAGACTATGATCGTAACTAATGAGAAACAGCACGGCATGAACTTTAATATTAATTGGAATATTGAATTTTAAAGAATTAAAACTAGCTGCTATAAGTATTATTGAGCCATATTAACTACTATCAATCTATTTTTCTATATTCCTAATATTGAATTATATGGTACTCAAGCAGTTTCTGCTTTCAGATGGAAATTTGGCTAGGTTAAGGTTTATAAAGTTACGTAAAATTTATACATAATTATAATGCACTAGAATCCGGCAGTATCACTAAAAGTGCTAATTGGACAATGGTAATGATTAAGTCTGAAAATCAAACACGGAAATTATGATTTGATCATAGTATATGCTGCCATATAAAATGTTTACTTTCTCATTTGGAACCAAGAATAGTAGCACTGCCTAAACTTAAATCGAATTTACGATAAACTTTTAATAAAACAGCTTCGCAACAGGACAATATCATTTACTATTTCTATATCGGACGCTTGAGCCACATATAAAATCCCAATTATTTCCTATGCTTGCAACTAGTGGACAATACAAAAACTTTGACGCCTCGTATTTTTAGCTAACGACTAATTTAAGAGATTACTACGCTATGTGATAATATGTACTTATTTACTGAACTCTTCTATAAAGGTCACTGCTTGTGTTTTAACTAACATCAACATTCTTCGAATAAAATCAAACTAAACATAAAATTATCTGCGGATATAAATATTCAAGAGCTGATATGAATAGTCATATTTTTAAATGGCGTTACAAAAGATTTCCATAGTAATAAACAAAGTTCTATAAGGTAGTTACGGTACAATCACTGTAGATAGAACTATAAATGAGATAACTTTAGCTACCATAAGTAATTATCAAATTCAATTTTAATCCAAGCCAATAACTTAAGATAATCTTGATATTTAATACTTCTACATTAGAAGTTGTCTAGATAAAATGAAGTTGTCTTAATATAGGCTAATTTATTTTCTACATTGATGCAATACTACAACAACATCACATCTAGAATAAGTTAGAATTTATAGATGAAATCGAACGTATCAAAATATTATCTTAACGTAGGCAAATCTATGTTTGGCAAGTATGCAATGCTGCGACATTATCACATCTAAAATATATCTGCAAGTTTCAGATTAAAGCGAAGCTATCAAAGCTATCTTAACATAGGCAAATATAATTTCTACAGTACTGCAATGTTGCAACAACATCATATCTAGAATATATAAAGAGTTATAGATAAAACAAGCTTCTACCAAATGTCTAAAGCAGATCAAGAAGTAAAATCAAACTATGCAAATAGTGTCTCTAAACAGAAAACAAACCAAATTTTAATTGAATACTATGAACTAACTTGTGCCAAATATATTTAATATAAATTAAATTATTAAGATTAAAGCTAGACTAAAATTGATGTCCTTCCGTATTATATACGATTTTTTCGAAAGATTGACTGCATTTTAGGTAAATTTTATGAAACTACTGTACTTTACGGCCATTTTTACACTGCTACTAAACACCGGTGATACAACTTGATCTTTATACAAAATTTTTAAAATCGTGTTCAAATGTTGGTAATACGGATAAACTGACACTCTTTTACTAATCGTTTACAAATACCTTAAGTACTTGTGATAACCAGTTGATGTCGACAATATTCTAATAGCAGTCGACACATACTTTTACATCTTATTCTTGATTAACAACCTACCAGTTTTTCTAACTTGAGCAAAGCAAATTAAAAACCGAAGTAAATCCAATCATTTAATGTGATGAGTAACGGTAGTTCAATAATATATTATTACATAAGTAAGGACCCGGAAGGTCACACAATAATTAAGATTTGCCGGTTTCGGTCGATGCATGTTAATTTTTACGTATACATGATGTTATTCTTATGCAATTACCATAGATCATCAAGATTATTTACAATTTCAATCAAGATTATTAGTGGTTTACTATTCAACCTGAGGGCTTTTAGCTATCATGGTGAATAAATAATTAATATTTTTCGATAAATAGAAAATAAATTTCAACGAATGGAAATCAAAAACCCTTAATTAGTTTCCATGTTATGAGCAAGTAAGAGTTAGGTCGTAAAATAACAATGCTGCAATAAGAAATACGAAAGTAGCAATAGTATTAAATACATCTCTTGAAAGAATTAACTTTTAATTGTTGCAGTCATCGTGATAACGAATATTTATTCCTGATCATTTTGTTAGAAAAACTGTCTATGGGAAATAAAAGGCGTTAACAAACTTTGTTCTAATTTAATAAGTATCGATACATGGCCATGAATACTATTACTATCCATAAATCACAGATAGATCAGGAAACTGATTAATACTGTCATGTTACCCTTAACCTTTGAGTAGTTTCCTCTACAAGCCTGATACTTATTTAATTGCTAGTAGTATTACTGATAATCCATAATACTATTCGGCAGCGAGTAAAATAATTTGTTCCTTAGCAATAGTTTGATATTTACTTAAGTCTTTTGTTGGAAAGTATCTTAATATTTGTTTCTCCGGGAGCTACAGGTAATAATAGTATGAACATATAATAAAATGTGCACTCTTATCCTATTCATAGATTTTAACGTTGAACAATGTGAGTAAATAATATTTACTACACTGTAATACTACTAATAGAAGCTAAAATTTTATAATTTATAGGATAGATGGATATTTTTGATATCGAATGCAGCTAGTAAATTCAAATAAAATTGATTTATGACGTTCTTTCAATTAGGTTTGTGGGAAACGTGTTAGCCTATTATACAATAATTTTGGTACGCTATAGCTAAGAAAAATGGCTAAATATCATCAACTTGGAAAGCGCTAATTTGACTTAAAAGCACGCTGTATAATATTCAATCGTAATATTACAGAATATGACATCAACATCGATTTAGTAGTGCAAACGTTACTAATGAGAAAGAGGCCATAAAGGTTCTTTTCTTAAGATGAACTATTCTGAAGTTGTTGACATTATTCTGTCTTTACGATTGTAGTTAGTTATTGTACAAATAAAGAGCTACTATTGCCCTCTTCAGTTCGAGAATACGTGCATAATTATGGTAAAAAACTTCAGAATCTGTTCACATTACGGATGATGTACATAGTTTACCAATAGGGTAGGTAGTAGGTTGATGGTGAAGAGACAACATAAGCATTTCAATCTTATCATCCCTGAAGAAAATTCCAGCACTTAATATAAATAAGTGATATAATCGGTGTGAAATAGCAACTGCCGTGATCAATTTCGATTGAGAATTAGTTTCCAAAAATTCATCCTAAAGGTTCATCTTCATTTTCTACCAGCTCACTCCATTTGATCCATCCGGCTTATTGGCTACTAAATAATGAAATAGATAAACACTAAAAGTGCATTTAAAAAGCTCAATTTACCGCGGACTTAAAAATCTTTAGCCTGTCACTACCAATCCTTACTTTAGCAATCTTTCCTAAAATGTTTTACTATAGTTATCCAAAAAAAACAATTTTTTACGTTGTATCACTTATTCCTAAGATTGCATAAACTACAAGTTAAACAGTACCTTGACCATTATTTTACTTTTCAACTTTAGAGAAAGGACCAAGTACCGTAGATATCTGTTATAAGACAAAATCATACTTACATGATATTTTTTGTCTTCCATGGAAGTCGAAAAAGATTAATCATACCAAAATTAAGCAGTTAACACTTAATACATAAGACACAATTAGTAATACACTGCAATTTCAAAGTGTAAAGTCCTATAAAACACTTTATTATATTGAAAGAAAAGTAGAAATTTGTCTAGATCGCCTTATTTTACCTCAAAAGCTAGGCAGCTCTTAATAACGATTCAAAAATTAAAAGAACATAAAATCTAGCCAAAAAACTGATTTACTCTTGAAAATGAGTCCTTAAATAATGAATTGCCATTAATTTTGTAGCATCTTTTCTTAAATATCTCAATATTTTACTTAACGACTCAAATTACTACAGAATAGTCTAAGTCAGGTAGCTACAGTATAATAATTACTACATGACCAGCTCCTTCGATAGGAGTCCTAGAAACTACACGACTGTATGCCATTTAACGCGGTGATAAAATACGCTTACAATGCTTTGGAGGTTTCTTCATTTGAAACGGCTAAATTAAATCAAACACATACATATTTTTAGTTAAAGTTTACTTTACTCATATCTATCTGGCTATAATTCATTTTCTAAGATTTATAGTCGCCCTTCCAGTATTTCA